GTCTAATAAAACGCACAACATATTAAAGGGTCTTTGGTGTGTCCATGTTTTCTACAAAACAAAACTGGAAATCGAGGGGTTATGACGTCATTGTCAGGCGACACAATGACACTATAGACACGGTCCGTGTCACTAGTTCAAATTGCTTATTTCTCTGGATTTAAACATTCTTCAAAACATTTGGGATAATGTAAGTACACAAGTCAGCTAAATATATAACACTGTTCTAGTGGTTTTTGGATATTTTAATATAACAAATCTTACATATTGTGCCTTTAAACACAAATAAACTGTGCTCATATTTTGATAAGTAGTCGAAGCTGGTGTAATTTTCTCCCCTCCCTTAATCACTATTGGATACGATTCGTGAGTGACCTCCTAACTATCCAATCACAATTGTTTTTGCGCAACTCCCACTAGCCAATCCTGGCACAGAAGGCGGGACTTGTCACAATACTGCCGAGAAAAAAAGATTCCTCCCTCTAAACTTTACTGCTGTAATCTAACAGTATTCGTCGAGGCAGGCGCCTGGAGTCGAGCAGTTCGCCGAGATCCGCGTCTCTCACTCCGCTGAGGCCATGAAGAGAAGGCTTCAGAAAAAATACATCATCTTAATTCTAGGATATTCCGTGGCGCTGCTTTTAATTCCCTACGTACTAGATTACCGGAGCAAATCGTCCTACATTAAAGATGGATATCAGCAACAAAAGTGTCCCGATCTGGAGAGCACCATCGCCCTGTGGAGTAGCACCAGGACGGGCAACTCAACGGAGGTGGAGGACTATGGCAACAGGAGTCAGTCCAGAACGCACATATACCTCCACGCAACCTGGAGGACAGGCTCTTCTTTTTTAGGGGAATTATTTAATCAGCATCCCGATGTGTTTTATTTATACGAGCCCATGTGGAATATGTGGCAGGCGCTTTATCCGGGAGATGCGGGCAGTTTACAAGGAGCAGTGAGAGACATGATGAACTCCCTGTTTAGATGTGATTTCTCCGTTTTAAAACTCTACGCAGGCTCGTCCAACGTAACCACCTCTTTTATATTCGGCTGGAAAACAAACAAGGTCATTTGCTCCGAGCCTCTCTGCAAAGCGTATAAGAAACACGAAATTGGTTTAGTTCAAGGAGACGTGTGTAGCAAATGCCGGTCCAGAGACCTCAAAGAGCTGGAGAAAGAGTGCAAAAAGTACCCGGTGATGGTCATCAAAGACGTGCGGGTTTTAGATTTGGCGGTTCTGGTTCCCCTCGTGCGAGATCCCGCCATCAACCTCCAGATAGTCCAGTTGTTTCGCGACCCCCGGGCCGTGCATAATTCTCGGATGAAGTCTAAGCTAGCGTTGGTAAAGGAGAGCATACAGGTGCTGAGGAGCAAGAAGCAGAGCGACAAATACAAGCGCCTTCTGGTGCCTAGCAACAGGGTCCATCGGGCAGAGAACTACGTCTCGAGCGCGATGGAGTTAATATGCGATAACTGGCTCAACGACATGTTGCTCGTAATGAACGCTCCAACGTGGGTGAAGAGAAACTATATGCGGCTGAAATACGAAAACCTGGTCCTCAGACCCGTGGACGAGCTCCAGAGGCTCTACCGTTTCTCCAACCTCACCCTTTCTCCGGCCATGGAGAAGTTTGCGGTGAACATGACCCACGGACGGGGCTATTCGTCGGATAAACCTTTCCTCATATCACCCAGAGATGCCAAAGAGGCTATTTACGCATGGAGGGAAAGGCTGAATGTGGAGCAGGTGAACCAGGTTGAAGCCTACTGCAGTGAGGTCATGAGACAGATGGGCTATCAGAAGATGAACATGGACAAGACCTAAAACCACCAAAACATGAGTTTATGGTATGTGTACGTTTCTGAATGTCCACAAGTGCGACAGGATGTCACCTATACATAGGTTTGGTGCCAGAACTTAGTGTAATAACAGCATTATTGGGCATCATGATGGACGTTATTGAGACTTCTAAACAAAGTATATCCCGTCACACTTTACATTAGCGTTACAGTATTATTACAGATGTACAGAGTGTGTAAAGGGATAGTTCACCCAAAATGGAAACACTGTCATCATTTCCTCGCCCCAGGTTGTTCCAAACCTGTATGAGTTTCTTTCTTCTGTTGAGCACAAAAGATGATATTTCGAAGAATATTGGTAACCAAGTTGATGGTACTAATACTATGGAAGTCAATGGCGACCATAAACATTCTTCAAAATATCTTCTTTTGTGTTCAACAGAAGAAAGATAATCATACAGGTTTGGAACAACCTGAGAGTGAGTAAATGATGACAGTCTTTTCATTTTTGGGTGAACTAACTCCAACTGGCAAAGAAACCATGGCAAAACCCATAATAAATAACAGTACTGGTCAAAAGTTGAGGGTCATTAAGTTTATTATTAATTACTTTTATTCAAAAAGAAAGAATTAACTTAAAACTGACAGTAAATTCAATAATGTTACAAAATATTTATATTCCTAAACTTTGTTCATCAAAGATCCCTGAAAATATGTATTACAATATCCACAGAAATATTTAAGCAGCACAACTGTTTTTAACATAAGAATATTATTTATGAATTTTATAATTTGAATTTGAAAATTCAGCTTTGCCTTCACAGGAATAAATGTAATTTTAGAATATATATATATATACAATATATAATTTAAAATAACTATTTTCTATTATATATATATATATATAATAGAAAATAGTTATTTTAAATTGTAATAATAATTCACAATAATACTGTTTTTACTGAACTTTGATCAAATTAATGTAGCTTTGGTGAGCATAAGAGACTTATTTTAAAAAAAAACTTACCAAACCCAAACTTTTTAACTGTATCATGGTACTGCCACTGTACATTTTTATAAGGTAACTGAATTAGTGACATAACTATTATACAGCAACATAACTATTACATAAGTACAGAATTAATACTCAAGCATGTACATGTGTTATTATTTCGCAAATGTGATTTTAAATTTAAAGGAAAAGTACAATGAAATGTGGGCATAGAATTACAGTACCTTTTTTAAACACACCATCTATAGTATATTTTTAAGGGAATTGCCCTTTATTTAACATGATTCCTGTTGTAATTGAATGATATTTACATGTAATAGGTGTAACAGGGTCACTGCGTGCTGTACTTCTCTTTATCAGGTCAAACAGATGTGTGCAAATGCAAAACAGGGCATCCATGATAAGATGGGGCATATTTTCTGCTGCTTTAGATTTGTGCAGAGTAGAAATTTGTTAGGTGGGTTAGTTTTACATTCATCTAGTTAGCATGACGCCTCCATCTGTTACATGAGAAGAGTGTCAGTCTGAGATTGACTATGCAACACTGCAACTAGTAAATTGATTTTATTGGCAGTGTGCCGTTATGCATTATATGTGAATGCCACGCACAAACACTGAGTGACTGACAGCCTTATAACAAGACTTGAAGCACAATTTCTGGTGTGAAAGTGAAAGTGAAGTGACATGTGGCCAAGTATGGTGACCCATACTCGGAATTAGTGCTCTGCATTTAACCCATCCAAAGTGCACACACACAGCAGTGAACACTGCTGGTCACACACCGTGACACACACCGTGAACACACACCCGGAGCAGTGGGCAGCCATTTTTTCCTGCGGCGCCCGAGGAGCAGTTGGGGGTTCGGTGCCTTGCTCAAGGGCACCTCAGTCGTGGTATTGAAGGTGGGAGAGAGCGCTGTACTCCCCCCACCTACAATCCCTGCCGGTACGAGACTCGAACCCGCAACCTTTTTTTTGGGTTACGAGTCCGACTCTCTAACCATTAGGCCACGACTTCCCCTGGTCTGATCTATATAATGATGCATATAATCTGTCTTTACAGGACCAAGTTTGATTTTATAATGCTCAACAACCCCTTGCGAAGCGAAAACGTGATCTTTTATAAAGTTATTGATTTCAGTCGGGTTCTTGTTTAGCTAAAAACATCGATTCACATGCATAATTTTATTATTTTTACCATTGGGAACCCTTTACAAGGTTCAGTTTATTAACACTAGGTAATGCATAATATATCATAAACAAACAAAAGGTTTTACCTAGATTAATGATCATTTATGTTGTTAATTAATGTTTGTATATGTAGAAATGTTAACCAAGAGAAATGCTGTAAATATAGTGTTTGTTATGTTAGCTATTTTTACGAACTAATGTTAACATACAGGACCTTGGATTAAAGTGTACCATTTCAGTCAGTAATTGTTGTAAAAACATTGGTGTGCAGAATCAGTGCACTATTTTCAGCATTTACTGATCATGAACATTAAAAAGAGACAATAGAAGAGTCGAGTTGAGCCGGGGTCATTGAGCCAGTGTGAAACCGATGCTGCCAGTGAAGTCATGGGGTTAATACTGTCCTCTTGAACTCTGGAAAGTGAAAGTTATATGGTGACTTAATTTTGTCATTTCCAAGCAGACCCGGGTCAGCAAAATTACCAGTTTTATTTTTACTGTAGCCGATACAGTGGTTGAAAATGCTGTAAATCAAGCCAGCACAACATAACATAAATATCCTCTCAGCACTGTGACCGGTAAAAATATCCGACAGCAGAATCAGAATGAGCTTTATTGCCAGGTATGTTTACACATACGAGCTGTAGGTCGGTATAAGATGAACCAAACAGTGATCAGAGAGTCCTAAAGCTGCTCGTGGAACAGAGTGATATGCATTCTTTATTGTGGTGTAACAGTGATCCAATATATTACTGTCTCTGGTGGGACATGTGATGTGCTGTCTGTATTTTGGCAGTTCACGGGAGAGATTTGCTTTATTAAAGTCCCCGAGAATGATTAAAACAGAGTCCGGGTGTTGTTGTTCTGTGTCTGTGATCAGATCAGCGAGTTTCTGACAGTACGTGTCAAATCAATTAGCCATCATGCTCGAGTCTGATTTCATGGTGAGGCATGTAAACGGTGCTGTATAACAGAGCGATGGATCATGATACAGGCTTCTTTGTTATCACTATCAGAGTCATGTGATGAGGGGGGCTGGTGTGACCTAACGGACCGACCACACGTGATGGAAACAGGCTGAAATAGGGACTGCTTTGTGCTGGTTAGTCCCTGGAGGGACCAGTGCTCCCTGAGCTGAGCCTGTCACCAGCTCAATCTGTGAGGGCTGTGCCATGACTAAACCTAGACATGTTGGCACCAGACGTACACGGCTGACAAGTACAGACCTCTAAGTGTCCCCCAGTACCAGATGAGACAACCTCCAAGACCTAGAGCCCATCACAACCTTATTTAAAAAAATGCTTGGGTGTCACAACAACAAAAAGCTAGTAATACATTTGCCATTAATCTCATATTTAATTATATAAATATCAGATTAATTGTTTATCATTTTTGAACTTTTATTATTATTGATGTAATGTAAAAAAAATCTATAATAATGATCTTCAGAGTTAAAACAAAAAGAAAAACGAATAATATATTAATAATCTAATATTAAATAATTTTTTTTATTTATATACACATATTATAACTTATAAATTCTAAATGTGTGTGTCTTCGGAGGGTTAATAAGAACTCCAAAAGACCACAAAAACCCATTAATATATTAATTTTATACATTTAGTAATAATTGTAATACATTTAAATTATTATATATGAATATAGCTATTATTATACTAATTAATATTCTAATTATCAAAAAAGACTTTTTTGGGGAGGGGGGTAAAATTATATATATAATATATAAAAAATTATATAAAATGATATAATCAATCTAATGTAAATGCATAATAATTATATTTTAACATTATTATTACCATTATATTAATGTAATAATGTAATTAAAATATACTACTGCTAATAATAATAACAACAAATTGTCTTGGAGGGTTAATAAAAATACCAAAAGAAACAACAAAACATTATTACTCTTATATATATTATATTAGATTACTATTATATTTTAAATACATTTATAATAATTTAAATATTACTAATAACTATCAAACAAATTTTCACTTCCAGTATGAGTAGGCCTATATGAACGCATTGTTTCAATTTAAACCATCACGCTGAATATCTGTGACAAATACTAGCGGGACAGAAATTAGACTACTTTTACGACTGAACTTTGTTGACATTCTGTATAGAATCATTGTTTTCAGTAAACATCCCGATATAATAGTTATGTTCCCCTCTTTGCTGTAGAAGCCTGATGTGCTGGAGGAACAGGAGGACAGAGGGGGAACAGCCGGATATGAAGCTACACCAGAAGGTACGACACACCAGTGGAGCTGAGGAGCAACACCCCGAGATCTCCCTCACAGTGCCGTCATGGGGCGCTGAGTAGACGACAGAAGAGAGACACTTACAAACCCATCGACCTCAAATAATACTGACAAGAATCCTGTAAGAAAAAGACTAACAATAACAGAGAGGAAACACGTTCAGCAAGAGAGAATGAAACGGCTACCAAAGGCTCAGTCCCGGCTGTGTCCTGACAGCCAGATTTCATCCTCAATAATCCCTGCCCAATCCCCAGCAGCCCATAATCAGACACAAAAGGCAGAGTCTTTAAGTGCACTCGTGCTGTTGCACATGCACTAGGCCTGGAGACTGACATCCCATTCAATGTTCAGTTCGTTGGGAGGATTTCATAATGAAAATATTCCTAGGCATTCCTGTATTCATCAACAACGAATGAAAAGAGGATTATGCATCAAGGACACTCCAGTTTCTGTGGTACCACCCCCCAAAAAAATGAATGCAGAACTTATCTGAGGCACAAAGTGCAATTCAATGAACTGAAGATCAAGAGGATGGAGATGGAGAAAGAATTTTCCCCAAAGGAAATTCAGATTTCTCTCCCCTAACTCGCAACACTCCCGCTGGTGTGAAATTTCCCAGTTCCCCCTGGACATCACCTGCTTGTTCTTTTTGTATGAAGTCTGCACTGAGCTGTTAGGCTGTGCAGAATGTTGTGTTCATTTGTGTATGAAGAGGATAGGATTGCAATTTGAATAGTTAAATGGCCGGAACATCTCATCTAAAACTAAAACACACAATCATTCTTTATGGATACAGGTGTTTTGTGCTCTAGGAGAAATGCTAGATGATTATCATTTTGTTAAAGGGGACATCAGATGCCCATTTTTCACAAGTTGGTATGATTCTTTAGGGTCTTTATGAACTGTCTGCAACATACTTTGTCAAAAACAGCTACACCTAACCGTTTCGGTGCATGTCTCTTTAAAGGGGTAGTTCACCCAAAAATGCAAATTCTGTCATTAATTACTCACCCTCGTGTTTGATGACGTCATTACGCCGGATCTGGGTCAGCGCCGCCACACACATGGTACTGTCGTGAACGCGCGTCCACAAGTGACACAGTAGAGACGAAAATGTGGAATAAAGTCGTTATTTTTGTTTTCTTTGCGCAAAAAAGTATTCTCGTAGTTTCGTAACTTTACAGTTGAACCACTGATGTCACACGGAATGGACTACTTTGTTGAACCTTGGTACTTTTCTGGACCCTGAATGTGGTAGTTACCTTGCTGTCTATGGGAGGGTCAGAGAGCCCTCAGATTTCATCCAAAATATCTTAAATTGTGTTCCGAAGATGAACGTAGGTCTTACGGGTTTCAAACAACACGAGGGTGAGTAATTAATGACAGAATTTTTATTTTTGGGTGAACTACCCCTTTAAATGCTAATGAGCTCTGTTCATCCCGCCCCTCTCTTCCGTGGAAAAGGAAAGGTGATTCTCAAATAATCACAAATATAAAGTGTGGGACTTACTTCTGCTTGAGGTGCAGCTGGATTATGAACAGTGGGTACTGGTCCATCCTTGAGTTTTAACGTTTTAGCAAAACCTGCCTTGAAATGTCCCTCATTCAGAAAGCAGTCTGGAGTAAAATGATTTGCACAGACATAAATGAATTTAGGTGTATTCATTGGCGTGTTACCATTAAAAAAATAATAATAATCCACTGCGTCCTCAGCGGCTCTGATGTCAGGAGAAAATGATCTCTTATGTTCACTTTTACATCCAACTACAAAACACCTGCATTGCTTTCGAGTCTTTGTTTTTCACTACAGCTGCTCAAGCGTGGAGAAAAGGGTGGACAGCGTACAACTGGCTGAGGGCGGAGATATGCTAATAATACAGGACAATCCGTCAGCGGTCATGGGCGGGGCTTGTACAATATGACGTCATATTGCTCAGAAAATCAAAACTCTTGATTATTGAGATTGTTTAGGTTTTTTGGGGATTAAAAAAGTAGTGAATGGATTTTATCATTGTAGGGTGGTTGTGTCCACACACTGCTAAGACTCGTGCAAACACCATGTAAAAGTGAATTTTGCATCAGATGTCCCCTTTAACATTGTTTTGTCATTTTAAACATTTACACTAAAGTTATGTGAACCATCAGAATTAATAAATGAACAAATCTGTTATTTATTAATAAAACTTGTACATACATTTTTGTTGTAAACACTAGTTTTCTTGTTTTATTCTTCTTCTTATTTAATGACATATAAAATAAATCAAATACCTTATTTAGGTATTGCTACTGTAGCCCGCTTTGATACATTGGCTATTTAATTTTTTTTTTTATAAATGTACAATTGTTAAACTACAATCCATACCACAGTTTTGTCACAATATTTGGCAGGCTGTGTATACTTTATGTATAATAATAAGAATTATTATACATAATAATATGGATTCAAATGGGAAAACTGAGCATTTTGGTGTTTCATACATCACAGACAAAAATGTCAGATTGATAATGGATTTTGTTGTTTGTTTATATACTGACATGCAGAACAGCAAGTAAAATATGAATGCTACAGGAGGGAGTTACATATCCTGAAGGTACACACAAGTCCACAATAGTAAGGTCAGGGATCTGACATGTTAGAAGAGTCATTCAGAGTGACTTCATAGCCGGATTACATGTGAATTCAGTCTTTTGCTACAGCCGGTTTACGGTTCTGCACCTCAAACCACGATTGCCACGAAGCCCATGAGGCTCATTTGCTAGCCGAAACTCCACATGAATAGTGCAAATCTCCTTAATTCACATTTAGGTTCTGGTCAGATGTTGCACTGGATTCCGTTGAAGTGATATGTTTCCTCAAACAACTCAAAAAGCTCTGTTAGAAGGAAACAGACAGGCGCAAGTGCAGACAATTGCAAAGGTTACTGAATGGAAGGAGTGCAAAGTTAGTTTACGGTGTTGAATATAAATCAGAATGAGTGATGACTTATTTCAAACATCTGCAAGTTAGTTATTAACTAAACTCCTGGACTTTAGTCTTGCATTCATTAACATTCACTTCTAGACAGGAAGGAATGCGTATTGGCGGTTACTGGTACTAGGCCATCCGTTTACTGTTTGAACAGATAAACAGCCGGGTCAACATCATGCCGAACACTTCAGATTCCTGATTTCGGAATTGCCGACTGCCACATAGCAGCAACTCATACATAATGCAAAGATCCACCTTCAAGAACATTCTAATGTAAAGAGGCGCAAAAGGAATGCCACAAACGCAAATTGTTTGATGCAGATATGAATACTCCTTGATGATTACATCATTCTGCATCTCAAATTCTGGCTGCGAGTGTGCAAGTGGTTAATATGTTAATATAATAAAGCAATACATGCAAGGACTGCATGGCTCATACACTTGTTGCATCTAGCGGTTTAAAAGAGAGAAAAAGAAAACATGGCTGTGCAGATCAACATTCATATTTACAATGACCGGCACGTCAACTTGGCATTTGTACAACCAAGATATTGCAGGAAGTGTAAACTCCAACTCACTAGAGTTAAGTACTACAAGGTTCCCGTATGCAGTCATGAGATTAGCATGCACTCATGTCCATGTTGCCATTGTGTTTGTGAGCTTTCAGGAACACCACTGCCATGAAATATTTACAAACATTATGAGCTGCTCACTCATTTGCCTGATGGGCAAGATGAACATTTAAATGCAAATGATTAACCTAATACTGGCTGTTCAAACAAAAACTGGCTCAGTCATATTTCTAGTTTGTACAAAGCTAAAATGTTAATATGCGGCGGGCAGATTGTGTGTGAGATCATATGAATTTGAATGTTAAGGGCAGCAGAGACCGTTCGGCGTGAATCCCTCATCATAAATAAGGACATTCAATGTCCAAAGCTGTTTGATATGCATTCTTAATAGCAGTTTTATATATTTTTTTCCTCCTACAAATCACATTTTCATGGGCAGACACAGAATCAGAGTCTGCCACAGCATCAATTATGTTGCCTCCGTTCTCTGAATACATCAGAGCACAAACCCTCCTGCTCTCCATCTTTCTTTTCCCTAAAGTTTTCAGACCCCCTGCATGACATCTTTGGAGGGGTCATGGGTGTTCTGATGGATCAATGTGCAAGAAAAGTGGAGGTATGGAGCGCAGGGAGACGTGATTTAAGGTTTGGGAGGCAGGGTCAAGCGTGGTCCTCCATGGGGAAAACAAGGCGTGTGCCTCGGCTCAAGAGCTCATGTTCACGCGTGTCCAGTTCTCGCTCCAGAGCATCCTCCGATGTGCTGTCGCTGCGTTTGCTGTTCACACCCCAGCTTCCGCCAGATCCTTCGGGCCCGGAGGAGGACGAGGCCCCATTGGCTGTGATGGCTGTGTCGCCATAGGTCAGCGTCAGATCTCCTTCGTTCAGGATGAGGTCTGAGTCATTGTCTTGCAGCGGCTCATGGTTCTGCGGAGCACAGTGACAAGTCGGACATGAAGGGGGACATCAAGTCGGACACACACACACACGCACTATTCATGCTCAGCACAAAGGTTCATGAGGGACACTGTGGAGTCACAAAAAGACAGGATAAAAAGAGAAAGACACTTAGATGTCCTTATGCAAGAGAAAAATCACTTACCTGTGTGTAATGCAGCCTTCAAGTGCAGTTGGGAATATCATAGTTAAAAATTATGTGACACTTTATACCAACAAAGTCTCAATATTCATAAATTAAATCAATATTCTCAGTATATATATTCAATATTCTAGAACAGGCATGCACATGGTAGTAAATACTTTTGCCAAGTTATTTCAATGCCAGTAGTGTATTTTAACAAAATTTATTTGTTTTAGACTACAGCACTGATTAATTCTGACAAACCTTAAGGTTGCAACATGCTGAATTAGCGGTCTAGAAAAAAAGACGCAACAGTATTTCCGGGATAAACATTTAAGAAAATTAAATTAAATTGTAAACAAAAAGGGGGAAAAAAAAAGAAAAATGTTTCAGATGTGTAACAAAAAAAAAAGAGAGAAAAAAGAAAAATGTCTTGATTCAAAACTGAAAAGGTCTTGACATTAAAGAAAAAAAAATGTATTGAAATTTTAAAAAAGAATATGTCTTTATTTGAAAGATCTTGAGATTTAAAAAAGAAAAAAGAAAAAAAGCGTGGTAACCATGGTAAAAGCGAAAATAAATGAAGATGAATTGGCTTATGAAGTTTAATTTTTGAAAAATAATGCACACCCTTTAAGTCTTGGCTGCATTACCACCTTGGGGTGTGAATTAATTTTCATCAATTCCATCATAAATTATTCCTAGCTTAAAAAGTTGAGCTTATGATCAACTAATGTAAAGTAATCTAATGACTCACATGTTGCTGTTGGCTTCATTATTTATTTAGAAGACATTGTGCATAAATTATATAGGTTGTTTAAAGAGGTCATATGACGTTGTTAAAAATAACATTATTTGGTGTATTTGGTGTAATGCAATGTGTTTATGCGGTTTAAGGTTCAAAAAACACATTATTTTCCACATACTGTACATTATTTTTGCTCCTCTATGCCCCGCCTTTCTGAAATGCGTCGATTTTTACAAAGCTCATCGGTCTGAAAAGCGAGGTGTGCGCTGATTGGCCAGCTATCCAGTGCATTGTGATTGGCCGAATTCCTCAAGCGTGTGACGTAAGTGTTACGCCCCTTACCATATTGTGATGCCGTGTCCTGGCGCGATGAGACAACACCAATAAAACCACGTGTTCATGAGGATTAGGCTAATCATCCCATATAGAAAACATCACAAGTTAAATTAATCATGTTTATAAAGATAAACATGGGTTTATTATAGCCCACTTACAATTTACATTTCAGAGATCATTACAAATAAATTATTAAATGCTAAAACTGAATACATTTAAATGAACAAACTTGGCGTTGCATTTGCAGCCATGTGAAAACAGGGGGTGCTGCAGCCCCCTCAGCACCCCTACTTCCCGCGTCCCTGG